GACTCTGTGACTTTGTAGAGGAAGAAACAGACAACTGAAAAAGTAAGCTCATAAATAAACAAGAGGATTTGGCCCAGCGACAAATGCTGTGAGGAGATTTAAAAGTGAGCGATGCGGTGGGAGAGTAGCTGGGGCTGGCTGCGTGTGCTGCCTTTGCCATCCAGGTGTCTTACACTTGTATGTCGTCAGCTGTACGGAGGTTTTCCTTTTTGCTTGTGGATTTCTTTTTTTCCAGCTTTATGGAGATACACTTGACGTATAATATGGTGTAAGTTTAAGGGGTACAACATGGTGGTTTGAGATACATGTATGTTGTGAAATGATTACTACAGTAAGCTTAGTTCACACACCCATTGCCCCACAGAGTTACCGTCTTTTGGTGGTGGTGTGGTGAGAACACTTAAGATCTACTCTCACAGCAGCTGTCAAGTGTACAAGACAGTATTGTTAACTGTTGTCACCATGCTGTGCAGTAGATCCCAGAACTTACTCATCTTATAACTGAAAGTTTGTGCCCTTGGACCATCTCCCCATCCACTCCCCCGCCCCCCTAGTCCCGGGCAGCCACCACTTTACTCTGTTTTATGTGTTTGGCTTTTTTAGATTCCACCTATAAGTGAGATCATGCAGTATTTGTCTTCCTCTGTCTGACTTATTTCACTAAGCGTAATACTCTCAAGGTCCATCCAAGTTGTCTCAAATGGCAGGATTTCCTTTTTTTTTTTTATGGCTGAACAATATAATATTCCATTGTGTATGTTTGTGTGTGTGTGTGTGTATAGCACATTTTCTTTATCCATTCATCCGTTGACGGACACGTGGGTTGTGTTCATGTCTTGGCTTTGTGAATAATGCTGTAATGAACATGGGGGTGCAGATGTCTCTTCAAGATAGGGCTTGTTGGGCCGGCCCCGTGGCTTAGCGGTTAAGTACGTGCGCTCCGCTACCGGCGGCCCGGGTTCGGATCCCGGGCGTGCACCGACGCACCGCTTGTCCGGCCATGCTGAGGCCACATCCCACATACAGCAACTAGAAGGATGTGCAGCTATGACATACAACTATCTACTGGGGCTTTGGGGGAAAAATAAATAAATAAAAAAAATAGAAAAAAAAAAAGATAGTGCTTGCTTTTCCTTTGGATAAATACCCAAAAGTACCAAAAGTGGAATTGCTGGATCATATGGTAGCTCTGTTTTGAATTTTTTAAATATTTTGAGGAAACTGCATACTGTTTTCCACCAGTAGTGCACAAGGGTTCCCTTTTCTCCACGTCCTCGCCAACACTTGTTATCTCTTGTCTTTTTGATGACAGCCATTCTACCTGGTCTGAGGTGCTATTTCACTGTGGTTTTAATTTGCATTTCCTGATGATTAGTGATGTTGAGCACCTTTTCACATACCTGTTGGCCATCTGTATAGCTTTGGAAAAATGTCTGTTTTGGTCCTTTGCTCTCTTTCAATAAAATTATTTTTTTTTGCTATTGAGCTGTATGAGTTCCTTATATATTTTGGATATTAACCCTCATCACATAAATGGCTTGCAAGTATTTTCTCCCATTCAGTAGGTTGCCTTTTCATTCTGTTGATGGTTTCCTTTGCAGTTTGGTGTAGTCTCACTTGCTTACTTTTGCTTTTGTTGCCGGTGCTTTTGGTGTCATTACCAAAAAATCATTGCCAAGACTCATGTCAAAGATCTTTTCCCCTATATTTTCTTCTAGGAGTTGTGCGGTTTCAGGTCTTACATTTAAATTTTTAATCCATTTTGAGTTGATTTTTGTATATGATGTGAGATAAAGGTCCAGTTTCATTCTTCTGAGGATTTTATTTCTGAAGAAGGCTGTCTTATCCTAAAATTATTTTCTTAGGTTTTCTTATAATACTGCTGTTAGAGTTTTGGAATTTATTTTTGTGTGTGGCGTGAGGTAGGTCCCAACATCACATTCAATCCTTTCCCCACTGAGTTTGAATGCCACCTTTATCGTATACTAAATTCCCATATGCACGTAGTTCTGCTTCTGAATTCTATTCTGTTCCATTGATCTCCTTGTCTCTGTTTGTTTGTTTGTTTGTTTTTGTGAGGAGGACCAGCCCTGAGCTAACATCCAACGCCAATCCTCCTGTTTTTTGCTGAGGAAGACAAGCCCTGGGCTAACATCCGTGCCCATCTTCCTCTGCTTTATATGGGATGCTGCCATAGCATGGCCCACCAAGCGGTGCGTCAGTGTGCACCGGATCCGAACTGGCGAACCCCGGGCCGCCACAGCGGAGCGCGCGCACTTAACCACTTGTGCCACTGGGCCAGCCCCTCCTTGTCTCTTTAATTATTACAACTTTAAAGTATGTTGTTCTTCTTTTCTTTTCAGAAATTTTTCTTGGGTATTCTTAAACATTTCCTATTTTGGATGAATTTTAGAATCAGCTTGACAAATTTCATGACAAATTATGTTGGGACTTTGGGATTGCATTTAAGTTGTAGATTAAATAGAAGAGAATTGATATCTTTGAGGTATTGAATCTTCCCATCCAGACACATAGTATGTTTCTAATAAAGTACACTGCTTTATCTGTTAGACAATTAAATTTTTTTATTCATGTAGATTTAGCATGTTTACTATAGATGTATTTCTAGGTTTGTTTCTGTTTTGAATGGGATTTTTTTCCTATTACCTTTTCTATTTAATTGTTGCTGGTGTATAGGAAACCCACTAATTTAAGTATGTTGATTTCGGTTTTGGCCACCATATAATAATAATTATTAATTAGTATTCATTTTAATACTGTGTTAGTTTTGATTCCTTTGGATTTTCTGGAAAGATGAAATCATAACATCTGAAAATAATGACTGTCATCTATTCTTTTCTAATATTTCTACTGCCTCGTTTTTTCCTTGCTTTATTACATCTGCTAGTGTCTCTAGGACAATGCTAAACAACAGAGTGTCAGTAGGCATTTTTGTCATATTTCTAACTTCAATAGGGCATGTGTCTAATGTTCCACCATTGGGTGTGACATTTGCTACTTGTTTCTGGTAGATACCGGTTATCAAGAATTTTTTTCATTCCTCCTGATGCCTCAGAACAGCCCTCAGGTTGTTCCTGAAGCTTCTTTTCCCCGTTTTACAGAAGGGGAAATTTGGAAAAGCTCAATGACTTGAAATGCCCACTGAGCAGATGAAGCTCATGATTCTTAGTGAGCTCTCACTGTGTTCCTGGAGCCTTATAGGCTGCTGACATCCCTTGGTGTATTTGTCCCTCAACCGTGCCAGGTTATGTGAGCTGCTCAAGGACATTTAGAGGTCCCTGTAGGCTTCAGCAGCTGTGCAGCTGTAGGTCCTCATAGCAGAGAAGGACACTGTGTCTTTAGGGAGGAGAAATGGCTATACATGGCAGCACTAAGATGTGGACCCAGGCTCCAAGTTATTCCATTACACCGTGCTGCCTTTCGGCATACACATAGGTGTTCTAGATGAGCTTTATCTTTGAATGTCGTTTATTTTCAGACCTCAGAGGCAAATGGTTGGGTTACTTATACTCCTCATTTCCTGGCACCTTAATCTTATTGTCTGTGCAAGACTCTCTCTTGTTTTATTTATGTCTTTATTCCCTTTTATCCACTTTCCCCACTGCCATCCCTCCACCCCACCACAGGCAAAAGTTCTCTTCTGTTTAGTCTGTGGGTTTTTTTTGGCTTTTATGTGTTCTTGGAAAATGTGTATTGTAATTTGGTGTGCAATATTTGTAATTTGTGAACGGATCTCACTTGGGTTCTTCCTTTCCCCCCAGTGCTCTGTTCTGTGCTGCCCCACGTTGTTGAGTGTACACGTGCCCAGCTCCGCAGTGCTGTGTGTCCATGTGTCCAGCTTCCTGTTGTTGTGTGTACATTTAGTCTGTTGTTTCTGACAGCTGTGGAGTCCTCCACGGAGGACGTCCCCAAATTCTGTTCATCCACTCCTCCAGCAGTGAACACCCAAGCTGCCTCCATCTCCCTCCCACAAATAACACTGAAGTGAGCATCCTCATGCTGGCTGCACTGTGGGCCTGGGTGTGGACTTCCCTGGAGTTCCGCCCAGGAGCGGAACTGCTGGGTCCTGGATCATGTGTATAGTTAATTGTGTAAGTGATGCCAGATCCTCCTCCAGACTGGCTGCACCAGTCACCACTCCTACTCCCAGGGCACGAGAGTTCCCACTTGTCCCTGGCATGCATCGCTTTCTCTGATTTTTCCGGTTTAATAGGTATTTTCCTTTGGGCTTGTTTTTTTCTTGTTAATTTTCAGGAGGTTATTAAATTTTCTTGATAGCATTCCAAAAATGTCTCCTAACCTGTCAGCGGGTTATTATATTTGCCCATGGATTTCATTATATAGAGAATTTTAATTTTAAGGTAGTCAGAGTCATCCATTTCTTAACGTACAGTCTGAGTTGTAGGACATTCTCCCTACCCCGCCTCCCTCTGCCCTCCCCAGTCACAGATGCCATGTTCATTCACTGTCCTACGTGAGTTTAAAGTTCCCTCGCTGCTGCTGCTGTTTTCTCATGTCTTGTCCTGTCCTGGTGTCTTAGGGCGGGTTCCTTAGACATGGAGCCCGAGTCAGGGGTTCTTGTGCACGTGGGGGTTCATTTGGAGAAACTGCCTAGGGAGGGGGAGGCAGGACAGGCCCGGGAAGGAGCTGAACAATGCTTCTGATGCCACAGGGAGCTCTGGAGTGAGTGGCCCCACAGAGCTGTCCCCAGTGAGACAGGGGGCTAGGCTTTTGTGCCCCCCAGTCAGTGATTGGCCACAGCCTCCCAGCCCCAGACCCCTGGGGTCAAATTCCCCTCCAAGGCAGTTCTCCTGAGAAGATTGCAGTTGTGAGCTGCTCGTGGCCAACAGGCGAGTTCTCTGCCCAGTCCTGGGGGTCTGGACGGGCACCAGCGGCATCTGCTGGGCTTGTTGACTTCAGACACCTCGGAACAGCACGCCTCCTCCAGGGTAGTGACTGTGCCGTGTTGCCACCCGCAGTGTCCACGAAGGACCTGATTGAGACGTGCTGCGCAGCTGGGCAGCAGTGGGCCATTGACAATGACGAGTGTCTGGAAATCCCTGAGAGCGGCGCCGAGGGCGACGTCTGCAGGTAGGGTGGGCACCGGGGAGCAGGCAGAGCTGCCATTGGCCTTCTCCAGATCCCTGCTTGCCTTGACCCCTGGGGCAGGCAGTGCAAGGTGAGCGTGTGCTTCACCTGCCTCCAGGTGCGTGAGGGCAATCGGATGTGGCTGCTGTGGGCCCCTGGCCAGGCTTTCTCCAGGTGTGCAGAGCCCAAGACTGGTCCCCAGAATAAAGTAACCACATACATTCATAGCTGGCCTAGTGAGCATAATCAGAGGAGGGCACAATTTGGAGCAAGTGTTAAAGGATCATTATCACCTAGGAACAAGTAGGTGCTTCTCTCACCACACCCTGCAGTTGCTGCGAGGCTGTGCTCAGCCCACATGGGTTTTCCCTCCTCAACTTTGAGCCAGAGGTCTTCAGCTCTCTTTCTTTCCCCACTTTGCTACCCTGAGGTCTCAGAAGGTTGGCTGTTCACCATCCTCTGCTGCCTGTGCCGATTATTTGTTCTGATGCTAATGTTCTCAGGAAAGGAATCATTTATACCCAGGCCCTCCCTGTGCCAGGCCCAGAAGATGTCTTGGTCAGCCAAGACTTGAACCAGCCAAAGAAGGTCATGCCTTCTTTTTTCCAGGGACACTGTCTTTTCCAACCTACTCATTTTTCCAGACAAGGAAGACAAGGTTCAGAGAGGTGATGTGATTCACCCAACGTCACACAGCTTATTGGGAGTATGGCCAGGATCAGACCTCATGTTTCCTAATGTCCAGGCCACATGCCTCCTTTAGGAACTTTTAAATTCTGACCTTGTGCCTTTCCTTTCCCTCTGTCATCCCACCAACTGGGGCTACTTAGGAGTTAGAGCATGCATCTTTCAGGAGTTTTGAGCTAAGTGGCTCTCGTGTGTGCTTGCATCCCTCTTGTGATGGAAAAGTCACTGCTTCATAGACAGCCAGTTCTATCACGGGAAAGCCCTCGCTGGGACCTGCTTGTCCCCAAGTAGGGCTGAACTCCACCTCCCCATGATCCCCCACTTCGAGTGTTGGCTCATCAGCTGCCCCAGGGTGGCCCTACCAATGTTGGGGGGCGTGACCAGGGACCCTGGAGGCTGCTCTCCTCCAGGCCAACCCACACAGCCCTTCCTGGGATTGGGTCTCCCTCTCCTTCTCGGCCCTCTGGGGGGCTCGGAGCACTCACCCCCTCCCTCATTGGTCAGGGACACATAGCTGGAGTCCAGTGAGGCCCAGGCCTGAATCTTCTTGGTTCAGCCGAGAAATAAAACCTGTCACTCAGTGGGGGATGTGCTGGCCTTGCTGATGCCCCTGCCACCAGAACTGGCCCTGCTTGCAGTGGACCGTGGGCAGGGGCTTCCCCTCTCTGAGCCTCAGTTTCCTCCTCTGTGAAGTGGGGCCTGTAACCCTCTCTGGAGAGGGTCACTGGGAGGGGGCTGAGGCACGCCTCTGTTGCAGGACAGCCCAGAAGCACTGCTGCCTGTCGTACTTGAAGGAGAAGAGCTGCATGGCTGGCGTCGTGGGGGCCAAGGATGGCGAGGCCTGTGGGGCCGAGGACATCGACACCTGTGGCGTCTCCCTGTACAAGGCAAGCCCAACCTGTGGCATTCGTGGCCTGGGCCTGAAGGTCCTTGAGGGCCAGGGTAGGCTTCCCGGGGGCTCCTTCTGGGAAGTGACACTCACACCTGGGGTCAGGGCGGCCCTTCATCTGCTTGAAAACATCATCAGTTATTATATTGACAAGTTAATTCAGGAAGTATTTATTGAACCTAGGCCCTGTTTTAGGCATTAGGGATGTGGAAATGAATAACACATGAAAATCCTGCCCTCACAGGGCTTTCTTTTTCTTTTTGTCCTTTTTCTGCTGGCTTATTTCACTTAGCATCAAGTCCTCAAGGTTCATCCATGTTGTAGCATGTGTCAGAATTTCCTTCCTTTTCAAGGCTGAATAATATTCCATCATAAGAATAGACCACATTTTGTTTATCTCTTTATCTGTCAGTGGACACTTGTGTTGCTTCTGCCTCTGGGCTGTTGGGAACAATGCTGCTATGAACATGGGTGTAGGAGGAGCCCCTCTCCTGAGGACAGATGGTACTTCCACTTACATCGAGTTGGCTAGAACTTAGTCCAGTGGCCACACCTATCTGCTAGGGGGGCTGGGGACGGAGTCTTTATTCTGGAGAGGTCACGTGCACACTAAAAACTGGGAGGAAGGGAAAACAGATGTTGGGGGCCGACAGCGGGCTGTTGTGTGACAGAGGACAGGGGCAGACAAGGGCAGTGGAAGAGTTGCAGGAAATGTCACAGAAGGAGACGTGGGAGGAGAGAAGGGGAGGGAGTTGAAGAAGCCACAGCGTCATAAGCCTGGATGACTGTGACAGGGACCTCTGGAGGAGGGTGCCGTTTGGGAGAAGATTTGGACTTTGATTTTTGTCACGTTGGGGTTGGTTTTTCCTAAAAGTAACCAGTATATGGAAAGGACTTTGGTGGCAGGCAAGTTTAGAATTCCATTTGTGTCTCGATGTTTGACCCTGCACCAGCCCTCTTTCCTGAGCCTCAGCTTCTCCACCTATAAAATAGGGTAATAGCCATGTCTTAGGAGGTAGTGGTGAGGATCCCAGGTAATGCAGACTAAGTATCCACTAAGTCCCTGGTGGGTCTTCACTAAGAGCTGTGTTCACCATGGGGAGATGCAGATCTGGAGTGTCAGTGAGCTACTGCTGTGTAACAAACCGTCCCAAAACTTAGTGGCTTATGACTGGCTTAGCTCACGAGTCAGGGTGGTTTTGCTGACCTGGGCCATGCTCAGCTGATCTGGGCTGGGCTCACTTACATGTCTGCCACCAGTGGATGGCTCTGCTGGTGCTAGATGATCTAGGATGGATGCAGCTGGGACAGCCTTTCTGTGCTCCAGGCGGTCTCTCAACCTCCAGCGGGCCAGCCTGGGCTTGTTCAGTTAGGGGCTGGGCAGGGTTCCAACTCAGAGAGTAGAAGCATGCAAGGCCTTTTGAGGCCTAGGCTCAAAACTGGCATACTATCTGTCTCATCCTATTTATCCCATTGGCCAAAGCAAGTCATGAGGCACAATCAAGAGGCTGGGAAATAGACCGTCTCTTTTGACAGGAGGAACTGCACTATCACGTTGCAAAGACAGTGGGCACGATGCAGAGGGAACAAATGGAGCTATTATTGCAATCAGTCTCCCACAGAAGTTTAAACAATTTAAAGATTTTGTTTTTGGAGGTAGGCAGTCTGCACAGGAGTGGGTCTGTGTGACATCTGCAGGCACCCAGGCTTCAATTTTCCTGCTCAGTCATCTTTAGCTTGTAGCTTCCACCTTCAAGGTCACCTCATGACCCAAGATAGCTGCTAGATCTCACCTCTGTTCCAAAAAGGAGGAAGGTGGGGAGATGTATTTCCAAGTTGAGTCACCCCATTTAAAGGCTCTCCTGAAAGCTTCACCTAATGACTGCTATGCTATCTCTAACATCAAGGGACCCTGGGAAATGCTGTCTTTTAGGTGGCCTGAGTAGAATTGGAGACTGCTAGTAAATACGAAGGGGTTAATGGATGTGGCTGGGGGCTAATTTGTAGTTCTTTTCACAAGAGGCCATTTGTTAATTATTGCAAAAAACTTACATTAGCCCTACTCTGAGCCAGATGTGGGAAATGGAGACGGATGATACTTCTGCCCTTGGAGAGCACATACTGGGCAGAAGAAACAAGACAAGGATGAATTCACTCCCCTTTATCAGCCCCTCCCCTGAGCCTGGCTCCAGGCTGCTTCCTGGGGGCCCTGAGTGAGTCCCACAGGCTCATGGGCTGTGGGGAAGGCAGGTGGGCTCGAGGGGTGAGGGTGTGGGCAGTGATGGCATGTCTCTCTCCAGCAATGCTGTGACTGCTGTGGCCTGGGACTCCGCGTGCGGGCCGAGGGCCAGTCGTGTGAGTCTAACCCCAACCTGGGCTACCCCTGCAACCACGTCATGCTCTCCTGCTGTGAGGGTGAAGACCCCCTCATTGTGCCCGATGTCCGCCGGCCTCCAGAGCCCGAGGCTGTACCACAGAGAGGTGGGTGCTGCCTGCCCTGGGCTGGGGCATATGGGTCAGTTGGGTGACAGGGGAGAGCTGTTGGGGCTTCCAGCCAAGGCTGGGTGCCTTCTGGCCTTCTGTGGGGATGCTGGGTGCACTGTTATTTGTGGCTTGAGGCAAGAGTTCTGCTCTAGACAGAGTTCTTCTGTGGCCTCCGGCGGTAGACTCTGCCCTGTTACTTCCGAGGTGGTGATCTCATTCCGTTATCTATGTATCATCCATTCCACCCACTGAACTACCGACTACCTGCTACCCATCACCCTTCCACTCGCCACTCACCGCCTCCCATTCTGTTCACCTACACTCCATACGTCTTCCTTCCCATCCACTCTTTTAAACATCCATCCATTTCACCATCTCCCACCCATGCTTCCGTCCTCCGGTCCATTTTTCCATCCATCCATCTGTCCACTCCACCATTCATCCCCCATCCCCTCATCTATCCATTCACAATCCGTCCCTCTATCTATTCATCTGCCCACCCACCCACTCACCCACGTCCCCATCCATCCATTCATCTACCTAACCACCCATCCACCCATCCATCCATCCTTCGTCTGTCCATCTGCTCATGTGTTCACCCACCGGCCCAGCCAGCAAACCTTTCACTCATCCATTCATTTGCTTACCCTGCCGCCCACCTGTCTTCCGTCCCTCTCACCTACGCCATTCTTGTGTCCTCAGGGTACAGGATATACCTGGTACAGAGAACGCATTCATAAACGGTGCCCGCCTGCCTGCTGAGCCCCGTGAGGCCAGCACTGTCGTTTCTCTCTGGATTCTCAGTGTCTGCCCCTGCACTTGGCCCAGAAGAGTCACTAGCAGTGACTGAATGAATGATGGGTTTGTTGGTCGGCCTCTCCTTCACCACCAGACCATGAAACCTTTGAGTTCTGATCAGGCCTGTGACCTTCACCTCTGTGCCCCTGCCTGGAGCCTGTCCCTGAGCAGCCATAGGCATGTGTGTGGGAGCTCCCAGTGCCAGTGGAGCCCAGATCTTGCGTTTGCTGCCACCTGAGGGTTAGGAGCCACGTCCTGGAGCTTCCAGCCCTCAGTGTCCCTTGGGTCTCCTCCCTCCTGTGCCCTCTGTGTGCTGTGGTCACTGTTCTAGTTGCCCTGTCCAACCTCTAGGCCATTAGCCAGGGCTGGCCATTAGCCTTTTTTGTGCCTGCGGGCCAGCTGGAGCCCGATGAGGGTGTCCCAGCGAGTCAGCGGATGTCCTTCATATAGCTGGGCCAGGCAGCCCTGGGTCCAGTGCCATGAAAGCCCCAGCAGGCCACCTCTGCAGGTGTCCACATGTTCAGCCTTGACCAGCAAGTTACCAGATGCCCAAGAGGGTTCTGGAACCACCAGCCCAGTCTTTTCTCCAGCCGAGTGGACCATCTGGATTTCCTGTGGGCCTGTCCCGGGCACTTCATGGATGGGAATTTAAGCCACAGATGTGGTCCTGTTATCAAGCTTAGCTCTTAGCCTCTGGAGTCCGGCAGACCTGGTTGAAATGCCAGCTCCACTGCTCTTCTCAGAGAGTCATGGCCCTTCTCGGAGCCTTTGTGATTGCATCTGTCCGACGGGGTCCTGCTCTTTACCTCGTTCAGCGCAAGGATGGATGACGGGTGCTCGTCAAGAGCTTCCAGTGGTGCCTGACAAAGCACTCAGAGTTGCCACCCCGTTACCGTCAACAGCCATATTTTCGCAGGCCAGAGGAGGAAGCTGAGGCCCAGAGAGGGGCAGGGCCTCTCGCCAGGCACACAGTGGGTCTGTGGCACAGCCACCACTGGACTTTTGGCTCTAATGACTCCTGTTTCTGTCCTGGGCTTCCTGGTGCCCTGGATTTGACCAGACCCTGTCAGCCCTGGCCTGAATCCACCCAGATCTCTGTCACCATAATGCAAGACGGTGGAAATCTGTGCATGGGAATTAAGATGCCCACTATCCACAGGCACTAGGGTGAAGGGCTGCTAGAAGAGCTCCCATCCTATGGGTACAAAGTTTCCTGGACACCATGGTGGGCCCAACAGATACCTGGATCTCCCGCCAGGGTGGGGCAGGGGCAAGTGTATGGAGGATGGGCCAGGTCAGGCCAGGGCAAGTTGACAAGTGGCCAGCCTCCTCAGGCCAACGTTGAGCTCAGAGACTCTTAAGTCCAAGGAAATGCCACTTGCGGGGGTTGGCTCTAGGGGGTTGGTTGAGCACTGATGTGAAGGCCAGATTAGTGCCCAGAAGGTCAAGTTAGGGAGGAAGTTCAGCCTCAGGGATCAGAGGGTAGGCCTAGGGCTGGGCAGGGTCCAGAGCCAGAGGTACATGTTCCTCTCCTCCGGTGAGGAACTGATGGGTAACCTGGGCCTTGGGGGACACAGGTGCCAGGGTCAGACTGACAGGGATTCCAGTCCTGCTCAGGTGACCTTGGGCAAACCACTTTGTTCCTCCGAGCCTCAGTTTCCCCTCTGCCGGGAGGATCATTGTGGGGAACGTGCTGATGAAGTTGGGCTGCGCATGAACCCTAGAGATGTTGCCCAGCCTGCAGCGTGCCCAGCAGAGCTCTGGGCTCAGGTCCATCTGCTGCCCACCTGCAGTGCCAGGTCTCCGTAGGGCCAGACCACCAGCCATTACGGTGCTGCCTGCAGGCACCAGGCCAGGGCTGATAGGGCTGCAGCTTAATGTAAACGCCCTCACTATGAAACACGTTCCTCAGATGTGACTTCATGCAGCTCTTCCCTTGGGGGGCTCAGCTGACTGGGGCTTGTGGGCAGGGCTGAGGCCCCAGGCTGATGAGGATTGTGGAGGAGCTGCGGGCCTCCTCCTGTCCCACAACTGTTATATGAAGAGCCTTCCGAGGCAGCTCAGCCCTAGGAGCCTTCTCTCCCACTCTCACCTGCTCCTCACCACAGCCCCGGGAGGCATGGAGAGACCTAGTGCTGCCCAAGGTGACACGTCTAGAGAAGGCCCGAGTGACAGTTCCTGACCTGAAGGAACCCTGGTTTGGGGCCCTTTCTGTTGCTAGGGGAGGTCCTCCCTGATGTCACGAAGTCAGAAGTATGATTCCAATTGAGCACTTCAGCCAAAGCTTCATGAGGGCTTGTGTGGGCCTGGCCCTGTCATATTGCAGGGGATTCAGGTGATGAAGATTTGGACCTGGCTCTGAGGGGTTCAGTCTTATTGCTAGGGGTCTGTCCATCCACCCATCCGTCCATCCACTCATCCATCCTTCATCCATCCATCCACCCATCCATCCACCCATCCCCCCCATCCACTCATCCTCCCACCCAACCACTCACTGACCCACCCATCCATCCATCCATCTACTCATCCACCCACCCAATCATTCATTCACCTACCCACCCATCCATACATACCTGCATAAATACATCGTCCGTCCATTCATCCATCATCCATCCATCTGTCCATCCTTCATCCGTCTGTGCTGTCTCAGCTAGGCACACAGAGGGTTCTGATGAGAACCTGCACTGCTTTCCTGGGGGCCTGTGGTCTCAGCCACGTGCTGGGGCCAGAGCTCTGACCCTCCCCTAGTTTCCGAGGCAGAGTTGGTGAACCGGGAGGCCCTGTCGCTGGGCACGGAGACCGAGCTGCCCAACAGCCTGCCTGGTGATGACCAGGATGAGTGCCTGCTCCTCCCGGGGGAGCTGTGCCAGCACCTCTGCATCAACACCGTGGGCTCCTACCGCTGTGCCTGCTTTCCCGGTTTCTCCCTGCAGGATGATGGCCGCACCTGCCGCCCAGGTAAGGGCTTGGACAGCCGGGGCAGGGCAGGGGCTGGGGCCAATCTTGCCAGGGGAGCATGGCGTTCCTGGGATTTGGACTATGGGGCACTTCCCCTCTCGCCACCCCACACATTGGAACACCCAGGAGGCGGAGTTTCCTGGTGTGGCTTTGTGAGGCTGGGCAGATAGGCTCCTTCCTGGAGCTCCATCTGCAGGGCAGTCGCAGCACCAGGACCCGGGCCACAGGGGTGTGTCCCCAGAGCTGGGCATGTAGTGGTCAGACCCTGACAGGCTGCCCAGGAGGCTGTCCCAGCACCTGATCTGGGACGGCTTTCTCCCTGCCAGCTTCCAGCGATAGATTCATTTTCAGTCTAGAAACTCTTTCCCCTCCTTCCCTGTTCTTCTTTCTTGCCTCCTTCCCCTCCACCCCTGTTTGCCCCAAATCACTGTGGGCTTGATCTTGTTCAGTGTCCATTGTTCCCTGAGCCTCAGTTTCTGCTCCTGTGAAATGGAGGGGATTAAATGAGGCGGTCTCCATCAAGTGCCCAGCCTGGTGCCCAGGGTATGAGTTGTGCTCTGTGCTGGGAGAGCCTGAGGCCTGGCTGGAGATGTGACCCCCCCCCCCGTCTGCTCTGCCAGGGACAGAAGGTGACCCCCCGCAGCCGGAGGCAGCAGAGGAGTCTGCACTGAGGCCGGAATCCTCCCAAATGGCCCCCAACACCATCCCGCTACCACTGCCACAGCCCAACACGTGCAAAGGTACCCGGGGCTGGGGCGGGTCTGGACTGCTGGCCGGTGGGGAGTTGTCCAGTGCTGGGCGGTGCGAGACAGCCCCTGCCCGAGCACTGCTTCTGCTCTGGGGGTGATTAGCCTGCCTGTCTGGGGTCGGGTGAGGAGCTGAGAGGGTGGCTGAGGAGGTGAGATGGGGGGGCTCAGCCTGGGGCCAGAGGAGAGGTGAGAATGGGGGCAGCCTGGGGTGAGTGTGTGTGACCCCAAGCAAGCCAATTAGCGTTTTGTCTCAGTTCCTGTAAAATTAAGAGAATAAAATCCTTGCTTGCCAAACTGTCATGGAGACTGCGGTCAGTCCCACGTAGAAAGTTCTCTTTGTTCTTCTTCTCCTCCCCTCTTTCTTGTTTCTCCTCTCTCCGCATCCTTTCTCTTCCTCCTCCTCTGTCTTCTCTCTCTGACTCCTCCTCACTGTTACTCGAGGGAGGGGTTTGCTTTCTGACTGGTGCTGATGGTGCTCATGCCAGGAGTGGATGAGCTGATATAACAGGTGAACTTGTAAAAAGGACCAGGAGTCGGGTTCCTTGGCTCCCCGTCCTTCCATCTATATGTTGGAGACGGGGTGACGAGCCTGGTGGTCTCTGTGTGGTTTCCTCCCAGACAACGGGCCCTGCAAGCAGGTGTGCAGCGTCATTGGGGACACAGCCATGTGCTCCTGCTTTCCTGGCTATGCCATCATGGCAGACGGCGTGTCCTGTGAAGGTGAGTATCAGGAGGCTGTCCTCATACCTTTGCAAACATGAGTTGGCCTGTGGTGGGGGCCCCAGAGTGGGGACGGGGCAAACAGGAGGTGGAGGCGGTCCGGATCTAAAACTCACTGTGTTAGTGAGGGAACAGGTGTGGCTGCTGTGATGAGGAGCCCACATAGAGCAGCTTAAACAGCTGTTCCCTCTCACGTCACCCTGCACAGGTGTGCATGCAGTTCAGGGTGGGCACACAGGTTGGCAGGGGTCCAGGCCCCTTCCATCTTGTTGCTCTGCTGTTCCCTAGAGCAGTGTTCCTCTAACTTCAGCATGCACCAGAGTCATCAGGAGGCCTGGTGACAGCATGGATCCTGAGAAGTCCACAGAATCCCGAGATCCTGACCCAGGAGGTCTGGGTGGGGCCCCAGAGTTGGTGTTTCTCACAAGGTCCCTGGATCACACTCCGACCAGCCCTGTCCTTGAGGGTTGCCCCTGTCTGCGTTGCCCAAGTTGGTTTGTGATCACCCGTCCCTGTTGCGGCCACGTGTGAGAAAGGAAGGAGGGAAGTGCATACCAGATGGTTGTAAGGCTGCCCCTGGAAGTGGCCTTCATCCCTCCCACTTGCCTCCGATGGGGAGAGAGCGAGGCTGGGGAGTGGGAGCCCCCAGCTGGACTGCATGTGCTTAGTTCTGTTACTGAAACCAAGGAGGGGACAATGGGTGCTGGTGACAGCTGACTCTGTCATTCACGAAGGGGCCAAAGAGGGTCCATAAGCTTATCCCTTTCACACTGGCCACCATGCTAGGTCTAGGTGTTGTCTCAGTGGGGCTTCAGTGGGCCAGGACCACCCGCTGTGGAATCGGGGCATTGGCTCCGACTCCTGCTGGGGTGGTTCCCAGAGTGAATGACGCCTCAGGAGCAGCCTTGACACTGCACTTCCTCATGTCTTGAGGCAGGACAGACATGGAGCATGTAGACAGTCTAGGGAACGCTTCAGTTGAGGTTCAAGTTCAGGAGACGTGACCCTGGTGGGTGTCTGGGGGTAAAAGGGTTAATTAAGTCTATTGAGAAAATGCCCACAGCTCTGCCAGAAGCTGAAACCCCCCAGCCTGCCCCTTGGCTGAGACTATGTTCTGATGTGGATGAAACCATCCGTGTGCCCAGAGAGGGCAGGAGACTTGCCCAGGGCACACAGCATGGCAGTGATCGGCGGGCCTTTCTCTCAGATGGTGGGGGCAGATCTCCGGTGCCCTCTGGGCTTCGCTCCCCACGTCTCAGGGCCCTAAAGACATGAGGAATGCATCTCTCCTGGGTTGGGCTCCTGGCACAGCCAGACCACGGGCCAGTGTCCATGTCTCTGCAGGCGTCCCTTCCTCCTCTGCAGGGCCCCCAGCAGTAAAGGCTGTGGGGTCCAGGCCAGAGGTTGCAGACCGACATTCTGAGGGTGCAGCCTGCCCTACAGGGGAGTCCTACTGGTGTCTACCCTGTTTAAAAAGCCCAAGAATTTTTTTTTAATTTCTAGATTCCAAGTTTCTCTTGAAACTTTGCAAAATCTGCCCACAAGGAGCCCACACCCCCAAACCCCTTTGGACAGCACCACGGTCCCACAATGCCCATAGAGCCCCTGGTGCCCCTTTTCCCATTTATGTTGCCAGCCTGGCCCCTTAAATACTTAAGTTTGCAACCCTTGCCTTTGTGTGGCTCCCTTGGCTGTGGAAGTGGAGTGCCTCCAGAGTGTGCATGGCAGACAGCCTCTGGTCCTGCCCTGCTGTGTGACCATGGGCAGACTGCCTATCGTCTCACCTCACCTTGCCACCTGTCCTTACTGGGAAGTGGGTTCCAGCTCCGACATCTTTTGACTGTACAACCTCAGACTTGGGTGCAAAGCCCAGAGGTACCACTGATGGGCTGGGAGGCCCTGGGCAGGCCCCTGCCCCTCTCTGGGTCTCAGTTTCTCCACATGTCACTGGATGCCACGCCCCTCTAACGGCCCTTCTGTTTTTCCTCCCGCGGCTGTCACTAGACCAAGACGAGTGCCTGCTGGGTGCTCACGATTGTAGCCGGCGACAGTTCTGTGTGAACACCCTGGGATCCTTCTACTGTGTCAACCACACAGTGCTCTGTGCTGAGGGCTTTATCCTCAGCGTGCACAGGAAGTGCGTGGGTAAGCGAGAGCCCCCGCCTGCCGCCACCGTCACGGCTCTCTGCTCTGCTCCACACCAAGCGCGCCACACTGAGGCCACATGCTAAAGGGCCTGCCCTTTGCATATGAACTGCCAGCACAGCCGGCACCCTAGTGCTCCATGTTGTTTCCTACGTGTCCTGGTGTCCTGTCCCGCTTCTCCACCAATGCCATCGGGAGGCTGCTTTCCTGATGGGAACGTGCCTGAGAGTCAGAAAGCTTTAACTGATGTGTGACCTGCCCAGGACACTGAATCAAGGAGGTCAGACATGCGGGCGGCAGACGAGGCAGGGGTCTGGAGGCAGGGAGGCCTGGGTTTGAAGCAGGACCCCCTCGTAGCTCTGTGGCCTTGGACCAATGACTTCCCTTCTCCAGGCCTCAGTCTTCTCATCTGTAAGAAGGGGCATTGGTCCTCCTTTGGAGATGATGTGATATGTGTACGGTATAGCACAGAGCCCAGAGCGCAGTGAGCATGTGATGTCAGCTGCTTCGGTTGTCCTTAGATGCACCCAGAGTCCCCTCCAGAGGCAAATGAGTGGAGCTGGGGTCCAGCAGACCTGGCTTTGCACCAGCTCGGCGTTCATTTGCTGTGTGACCCGGAGCAGCGGAGCTCTCCTCTCTGAGCCTCTGTTTCTTCACCTCTAACCTCGGGGCCTAGAGGACTAGGCAGGGGCCGGTACCCAGCTCCCGGCCTGCACGTGGATGGAGCCGGTGCTCAGTAACGGCTCTTCCTCCTGCCTCTCGGTACCTGTATGGACCAGGGGCTGGGGCTCCAGGCGTGCTTCAGGGACAGCAGGGAGGGTGGACTCGATGTTCTCCCACGGCCAGGAGTGTTTTCACAGAGGAACATCATGTTTGTGAACAGACATAGACCCAAAGTGGCAGAGACTTGGGGCAGACTGGGAAATGCTACAGCAGAGACACAGGCAGAGGGAGAGGTCATTCCAACTGGTGGTATCTGGACGCCCTTCCTGGAGAAGTGGCCTTTGCCTGATCTCCAAGAATGGCTAGGACTTGGAAATTGGGAAGGGCTTGCAGGTGGAAGGAACAGCTTGAACAAAGGTGTAGAGGTAGGAACAGTGCAGAGTGCAGTCAGGGCACGTGACTAGAGCCCCGTCTGTCTTCTTTGTGCTTGGGGACCATGCCCGGCCTGGACATGTCCCCATCCTCCCCCTCCACTGCTGGGCAGACGGGCCCAGGTGCTGGGCTGAGTGGCCGCTGCAGACATGTTTGCCCCTGACCTCCAGCTGTCGGCACAACATGCGCCCTCCTGACCCTGCTTGTTACCGGCTGGGCAGCTCTTCGTGTCTGGGTCGTGTCTATGTATGTACGTCTGGGAAGGCGGGTCCTGCCAGGGCCTGTGTGCACCCCTCCCGGGACACCCTGCCTGATTGCCATGCCCGGGTGTGCGGGCTCCCCGGTGGCCTAGGGAGAAGACCTTGTGCTAAAAGTGTTGCTGGGCAGCCAGAAAACAGGTTTTGGGATTAAAAGAGCAAAGGGACATTCCATTCAGCAAAATTTATGAGCTCCCATTCGCGTTCTTTCATGTCTTCCCCTCTTTGTTCATCCTGCACAGACTTACCAGTGTCTCCTCTCCGTCCTTCCATCCCACTTATGAGTTCACTTGCTCATTGTGAGCACTCATTCACAAATGTACACTGGTGTCTTCTGCGGTTCATTTGTTGGCTCCAGGCATGTTTATTAGCCCCAGCTGGTGAGATGGGAGACCAGTCCCTGGATGAAGAGTATGGCCTCTGCAGCCAGACTGCCTGGGTTCAAATCCTGGCTCTGCCACTTTCTAGTTCTAAGACCCTAGACAAGTCAGTTAACCTCTCTTAGCCTCAGTTTCTTCATCTGTGAAATGAGACAGAAATAGCTCCCACCTCAGAAGGTCACTGTGGAGATTAAATGAGTTGGTCCACATAAAGAACTTGCTAGCACTTGATGTTATTATTATGATTCAACAAATGTGTTATACTGAGGCAGCCTGCAGAGGTAGTGAGCGCCCCATCACTGGAGGTGCGTAAGCTAAAGTGGGACAACATTGGGTAGGGCCAAGTCCAGAGGACCTCTAATGGATGTGTGACCTTTGTGGGGACTCCCTGTGCTTTGTTGTTTGGTTTTTGTGCCCTGCCCTTTGAGGACCATCTTGGCCCCTGGGAAAAGTGTTCCAGGTGAGCTGGGCTGTGAGAAGATGGGAGGGGAGCAGGCCCGGCTCTGGGGCCCATCCTGCAGCAGTGGGGAAAGGCACAGCTCTAGAGCCCCGTCTGTCTTCTTTGTGCTTGGGGACCATGCCCGGCCTGGACATGTCCCCATCCTCCCCCTCCACTGCTGGGCAGATGGGCCCAGGTGCTGGGCTCAGAGCTGGGTGCTCTGAGTTTCCTCCTTCTGCTGCAGTGTGACTGCATGACTTTGGTCTAGTCATGTCCCCTCTGGGAGACCTATTTCCTCATCTGTGAAACAGTGTAGCAGGACGATGGAAGGGCAGTGTCTGTAACCATCCAACCCCTAGGGAGACTCAATTAGTGTGGGCTGTTATTTATTACCGTGATTCCTCCCAGGCTGCGGGGGCTCCGGGGCTATGGCACTTCTGGGGTCCTGGGAGCGTGTCTCCCTCCGTCACTCCAGCCTGTGAATCAGAAGTCTTCATCTTGCCCAGCCAAGCCTTCCTGGGAAACCGCTGGCCCAGAACTCTCCCTTTGCCTCATCCCCATGCCCACCCAAATCAGGGTGGGCCTGTACACCATTTGGTTCACCTGTGAGTTTGGCAGGGTCTCTGTCTGCACAGCCCTGCACCCCACCTCTCCACCTGGTCCCCATCATCTTTGTAGACTGAGCTCAGTTGTCACCGCTCCAGAGAAGTGACTCTGACAGTGCAGGGCCCAGTGGGGGCAGTGCTCTGGCCCAGGCCCCAGAGACTGTGCTGCTTTGCTCCCCAGCGTCTGTACCCTGCCTGTCCTGCCTCCCCTACTGGGCGGGCAGGGGCTGTGGCCGACACACCCACTTTGCCAGCTGGACCTGGCACAGAGCAGGTGCCGGTTACTGTGTGTCCGGTGGATGAATGAATCAGCCAGTGAGTGCTGTGCCTCCCTGCAGGTGGAGCCTGGAGGCGGCAGCACTGGGTCTTCCATCCCCCCAGCCCTAGCACCTGGCCCGGGGCAGTTCCGGAGTTGGGGAACTCTCCCGTTCTCCTCCTCACTCCCCGATGCTCCTTCTCTGTCTCCTTTGCCGGCTTCTCCCCATTCCCAGCTGCTCATCCTGAGTCAGTCCTTAGCCTCTTGTCTCTCTGCCCTGTCCCCTAGGTGACCTCAGCAGCTGACCACTCCTAAATCAGTATCTCAACTCAGGCCCCTTCCATGAACTCAGAGGCGGTCTCTGGCTGCCACTTGACTCCCGAACCCATTATGGCCACAGGGCTCCGGACCTTCCCCTGCAAGCCTGCTCCTCCCAGCTGTCCCCACCCCAGGTGCTAGCACCCGCAGCTGTCCAACGGCTCAGCCAAAAAGCTTTGCAGACCTCTTGGCTCCTTGTTCTCGTTCACCTTCACCTCATCCATCGGTGGACCCTGTCGGTTCCACCTGCACAATGTTTCCAGAACCTGATTGCTTCTCCTTGCCTCCATGGATGGCTGTCCGAGCCCTATCATCTCCTGTTCTAACAGCCTCCACCTCACCCCTGGAGTATTCACACTCAGCCAGGGGACCCTGTTACAAAGAAGTCAGACCACTTCCCTCCTCTGCCGGAGCCCTCTATGGCTCCCACCTCCCTCCGCATCTCCTAACTCTTCTCTCCTCCCTGCAGCCACACCCTGTCCTGGCCGGCCCTTGAACTTGCCCAGCAGGCTCCCTCCTCAGGGCCTTGGTATCTGCTGTCCCCTCTGCCTGAAATATCTACCGGGCTCATTCTCTTATCTCCTCAAATGCCTGGCAGATGTTCTCTGCGGATCCTTCCCTGACCTCCTACTTAGAATGGCACAGCCGCGCTGCAGCTCCCCGCTCCTCCTTCCCCCCCCACTCATGACCACCCTCCCTATTATGTTTGTTTATCTGTTGGCCTCCTCCCCTCTAGTGTCCCCACCATGGCAAGGATTTCTGTCTTTTTCACCATTTACCCCTGGTGCCAAGAACAATGCTTGTGGGCACATGGCAGGTGCTCAATAAATCTTTGTTGAATGAAGAGATGCACAGCCGGGTGGACATCAACCCATGCTACTCTCTGGGTGACGAGCGCCTTGCGGGCAGGGCAGACTGCGCTCAGCCACCGTCCCGGGAGCCACCGTCCCGGGAGGCGCCGTCCCTCGGCCTCTGACGGCCTCGCTCTCCCCGCAGACATCAACGAGTGTGTGACGGACCTGCACACGTGCAGCCGCGGCGAGCACTGCGTCAACACGGTGGGCTCCTTCCACTGCTACAAGGCCCTCACCTGCGAGCAGGGCTACGCCCTCCAGGACGGCGAGTGCGCGGGTGAGGGCGCCGGCCTCCTGCCTCCTCTCCCCCTGCCCCGCCCCTGCCTCCTGCCCCGCCCCCGCCTCCTCTCCCCACTGCCCCGCCTCCTGCCCCGCGGGCCCTCCTCCGCCTTCTCTCCCATCCCTGACCGGCCCCTGCCCTGCCTCCTGACCCACTCTGGCATGCCTTCTCTTTTCTGTCCAGCTCTAAGCAATTGAGTGCCTTGCCTGTGGGAAGAACCCACAGATGATGGTGTTTGGGGCAGAGGGGGTGACTGAGGCTGGTGGGAGGAGGGTATGTTCCTGGCTTTGCTCCTATTGCTAGTGTCTGGGTGTCAGTTACTCCCTTCACTGTGCCTCCATTCCCCTGTTTGTACCTGGTGTGGAGCTCCACAGAAGGATCACTTCTGTCCCTTTCTAGCCTCCTAAGAAGAGGGAGAATTTTCATTGAACCGTTTCAACAGATACTTCCTGAGCTCCTTTTATGTGCCTGGTAGGGCTCTGGGTGGCAGGGATACTGGGTGGGGTGTGGTGTCCTTGTCTCTGACCTGATGAGGAAGACGGGGCCACACAGGCAAACAGGGATGGCAGGAGTAACCTTGGCTGGGTGTTACTTTAGATGGGGCTCCAAAGAGGCCCCTTGCAGTGGTGATGCTGGAGGGGAGACCTACATGATGAGAAGCTCCTGGGAAGGGTGTTCCAGGTGGAGGGAACAGCAAGTGCGAGGCCCTTTGGGAGGGGAGAGATGTTGGCACATTCACAGAACAGAAGGAAAGTCTTGGGTGCAACTGTGCCTGGAGTGTGGAAGGAGGGGACAGGATTGGCAGGCCCGATGAGGGAGAGGGTTTGGAGTCTTTCACCTGTGATGGGAGAAGCATTTTATTTTTAACTAAAAACATCCAGAAGAATGTCACCAAAGAGGTGAGACTTACAGAAGTGCTCAGCTGTTGCAAGCCCTGGAAAATGTTGATGAGAAGTGTTCCTGAGGCTGGGCTGGAGTTTGGGGAGGTGAATTAACACATTCCATGTTGGCCCAGAGCTGGCTGTGGAGTCGGGGGTGGGATGGGCTGGGAAGAGAGATGAGCCCAGCCCCCTGGGCACACACGTGTGTGTACACACACATGCACCCACAGGACACACACAGATCTAGGGCCAGCCCCCCCTCCAAGAGCCCTGACGCCTGGGGAGGGGTGCTGCCTCTGTGGACATGCTCAGCACCTCCTGCCCCTTTCTCATCTCAGGGCACTGGCAGCTTCCATCTTAGACCAGAGCAGAGTGACTTTGGAGGAGTCCCCTTCCAGGCCCCCAGGGGTCCTCAGAGGGGGTGCTGGGCCTGGTTCACATCTGGTGCCTGGACCTGGTACAGGGCCTCCCAGAGCCTGGGCTGCTGTGGGAAGGTGGTGGAAGCCTTGGAAGCCAGTGGGGGTATGGATGGAGGGGAGGACGGATGGATGGATGACAGACAGGTGCACAGGCATTGGTCTGGCAGTCAGTAAAGTGAGTGAGTCTCGGCCGTGCCACTTACTGTTTGTGTGTGGTCTTTCCGCTCCATGCCTCAGTTTCCTCATCAGTAAACAAGGCCTGATGTGCCTGCTGTGCACAAAGCATGAGTGACAGTGCAGGGCTGGTGCTTTGTAAACTGTAGAGTGCTGTGCAGAGGTAAGGGCCCCTCACTGACCTGCTCAGGGCTACACAGCAGGTGCGGTCCATCCAAGTCTGGTACCTCCATCGTTGGAAGCTCCAAATCTTGCTGCTGCCAGCGCCACCTCCCGAGAAGCCTGGACATGTGACCTTAGGGATTTGAACATGCGTCCCCGTTTCTGCCCACCCGGCAGTGTGGGGCAGCAGTTAAGAAGGCAGACCTGGGAGCAGGCCCTCTGGGTTCTGGTCCCAGCACTGCTCCGCCTTGCTGTGGCACCGTGTCTGTGCCTCGGTTCCCACTGTGTACAATGGGGCTCATCGTAGCATGAAGGAAATAAATCTATTGCGGAGTTCTTGAGACAGTGCCTGGTACCATGGAGGAGCTCGGTCAGTGTGGTGATGTCATTGTCACTACTGGACATGGGCCATGGCCACATGCCAGCTCCCCGTGGTACAGAAGACCCTCATAACTGTCAGGGTCATGGCGGGGATGTGTGGGTAGGGGACCGCCAACCTGCTGGCCCCTGACCCCCAGTGTCTGTGTGGCAGACGTGGATGAGTGTGAGCAGGGCACGCACAACTGCCAGGCGGGCTTCACGTGCCAGAACACCAAAGGCTCCTTCTACTGCCAGGCGAGGCAGCGCTGCATGGAGGGCTTCCTGCAGGACCCCGAGGGCAACTGTGTGGGTGAGTGGGGTCCACCCAGCCCTGGGGGGCTTTGGGAGGGATCCTGGGGGTCTCAGAGGGCTTTAGAGGTCAGGGAGGCCTGGCTTGCTGCCTTTTCCCTCTCCCAGCCTCAGTGTCACTATCTGTGAATGGACGTGTCAGGGCCTGGCCCCAGGAGGCACGTGCAAAACGGAAGCTCTTGCTATCCTGAGCCGTCTGACCTTGGCCGAGTTACTTCTCTTGTGGCCTCAGTTTACCCATCTGTGGGACTGGACTGGGTGAATGTGTATCAAATTCTTTTAACCTAGCCAACAGTAAGGAATATATTTTATATCTTGACCTGGTACACACGTGCGTGTGCACACACACACAGACACACATAACTGGAACACGGGTTTCACAAAACGTTATCTTACTGCACGTGATACTGAAATGTCTATTTGCAAAGAATGCTCGTGAGACCTTCCAGGCTGATTCTGTGCTGCAGTCATGGGTTAGACCTGCAGTTGGACAGACGCTGGCCTCATCGTCCCCACGTGGGTCTGAGATCTTACACTTTCCCCGCCTCTCTTCAACCCCCTCCGAAAAGCCACCGGCCTACAGCCGGAGGCCTCACCTTCCCAGGGCTGCTGACCGTGTCCGGCCCAGAGGCCCCTGCAGGACTGACGGCATCTGAGTGTGCGTGGTCCAGGCTGCTCACCCTAGGGGGGAGAATGACACAGAGGGAGGGGGGAAAGACAGACGCTGGGCAAGGCCACCGCTAGATGTGAACAGAAACAAGGGATGTGTCAGAACGTGGCCTGTCACACACCCTCTCCTCACAAGGACAGCTTGTGGGATGAGCATTGCCATCTCACAGGGAGGACACTGAGGGATTCACTTTATCTCCAGGCTTTCTCAAGACTCTGGGGGTCCCTCTAGGCAGGCTGGGAGCTGGAGCTGTCTCTGAGGCACCCCCCTGACGGCTCCTCACTGTGTGACCCCAGCAGTGTCATGGGCATGAGCAGGCTGCTGGGGTCTGCGCTGGGACACTCAGCCAGGGCAGGCCAAGTGGGGGCTCTGCAGACAGTTCCTCGGTGAGGCGTTCGCGGACAGCGTTGCCCAAGTGCCTGCTGTGAGCCTCGGTGCCAGGCGGTGGGCGGCTGTGGCACTGTCACGAGAGGTTCTGAGGGGGAGAGGCTGAACAAGCAAACACATTGATAAAAGTGGCAGTTATTTAAGGGAGCTTTGATAAATAACATACCAAGTAGGGGATAAAAACTTAGAGGGGTGCTCCTCTGCCTGGAATGGTTGGGGGCCTCCCTGATGAGGTGACAGTGGGGCAGAGACCTGAGGAAGTAAGGAAGCCAACCATGAAAATAGTAGGGGGCAGCGTGTGCAAAGGCCCTGCAGTGGGCTGTGCCCAGGCACGTGGAATGGTGAAAAGCCCAGGGGGCTGGGGTGAGGTGTGTGAGGGAGAAACAGAGGATAGCAGAGACCCTGGATGCCAGGTGGGAGGGCAGCTTTTGGAGAAGGCAGAGTAGGGGCGGGACCAGCTGTAGTTGTCCTAGAAGTCAGCCTCAAGTTCTAGGGGAACCTCTGCCTCCAGCTGCTCCATCAGAGGCAGCTGTGAGAAGATTGTGGGATGATCCTGGGTTTTGGGGTGAAGGCCCTTGGGTCATAGGACACAGGAGTGGGACAGTCTGAGCCTACAGCCCTATGCAGGGCTGGTTTGGAGCCCAGGACCAGCCGCCTCCCCGTGTGGCCCTGGACCCAGATACTGGGGCCTGGGGAGGGGCTGTGCCGGGCTCCCTGTCACCCACACCACCTCTGTAGACATCAATGAGTGCACGTCGTTGTCCGAGCCGTGTCAGCCTGGTTTCAGCTGCATCAACACGGTGGGCTCCTACACGTGCCAGAGGAACCCGCTGCTCTGCGGGCATGGCTACCACGCCAGCCCAGATGGGACCAAGTGTGTGGGTAAGGCAGCCACTTCCCCTGCGCCTGCCAGCCAGCCCCGGCCTTCCTGGTGCCCCAGCCAATGGGAGGCCCGTGCAGTGGAGAGCCCGGGCCTGAGGGTGCCCCGCTTGCCTCCCTCTGGCAGACGTGAACGAGTGTGAGGCTGGCGTGCACCACTGTGGCGAGGGCCAGGTATGCCACAACCTCCCCGGCTCCTACCGCTGCGACTGCAAAGCCGGCTTCCAGCGGGACGCCTTTGGCCGGGCCTGCATTGGTAGGTGGGGGCTGGTGGCCAGTGGCCAGGACCCCCTCTGCGCCTCAGCTGAGCTGTGCCCACCTGCCTGGGCCCTCTCCTGGCCAGCCTGCAAGCCCCTCCTCCTTCCTGCCCGCCCCTCCCTCCGCCTTGCTCTGGGTGCACCCCCAGGCCTCTCTGGGCTTGCCTGCCTCCCTGCTGTCCTGTCCAACCTAAACTCTGCTCTTGTCTTCTCTTTCTCTCAGCCTCCGCCCTTCTGTTCCGGCCCCTGCTGTGTCTCTGTTTCGGTCCCTGTTTCAGTCTCTGCCTCCAGTCTCTCTCCCCTGCCCGTGGTCTTTTTGCATCTCCCTTGCCCTGTCTGGGTCCCTCCTTGTCTTTCCTTTTGAGTTTCTGGGTCCTTCTCCCCACCCAGCCCCTCTTCTACCTGGGGGTGGTGGGAGTTGGCCTCCAGGCCCCCTGGCCCACCCTGCGGGCCGCCCACCCTGTGCCTGCCGCCCGCCCGCAGACGTGAACGAGTGCTGGACCTCGCCTGGACGCCTGTGCCAACACACCTGCGAGAACACTCGTGGCTCCTACCGCTGTTCCTGCGCCTCCGGCTTCCGGCTGGCTGCTGACGGCAAGCACTGCGAAGGTACCGCTGACCTAACCTCTGACCTTAGCCTCTGAACCCCACACAGGTGTGCCCACCGTGTAAAGCCCAAAGCCTTGCCCAGCCACCCCCTCATCCCTTCACCCACACCACCCCTACCTCATGGCACTGCTCCGCCTGTGCAGACCTCTACCCTCAGCTGGTCCTGCTGTTTCCTGTCAGGAGTCCTCCCTGAGGGCCCGGGACCCTGGCCATCTCAGACCAGAGGAGCTGGGTCTCTGCATTGTCTGCACCCCCATATGGGAGCTCCTTGCAGGCAGGAATGGCAGCCCAGCCTCTGCCCCTCAGTAGGTTCTGATCCCGGTCACAGTTTTGGTGCCTTGGGGTCCAGGCAGGGAACAGAAGTGAAACCTGAAACAGGGCCCGTGGCCACCCGGAGAGCCCAATGGCCACCAAAAGGGGGTGGCAGCCACACAGCACTCACAGATGGTGCCACCCAGCAGTACCGGTCCAGGGTGACCTGATCTTGGTTTTCTAGATGCTAGAAATCTAGATATTTATGTAAAATCTGCTGATTTTTACATGTTGCCAATGGATTTAAACTTTTAAAAAGCACACGGTGAGTTAAACCAAGTGTGTGACCAGGCTGGGCCTGGCCCATGGCTGGCACCTGAGGCCAAGTTCTCACCTGTGTGGGATCACCCGTGGCTGATAGAGGGGGCGGCATGTGAGGGGCTGTCACACTGTCCCCACGTGTGTTCATGGTGTGGTTGGACCAGGTCCCAGGGGCTGGTATGGAGGGAGGTCCTGAGGCTGTGCAGTGAAGGGGCGAGGGGGCGAGGGACGGGGATGTGGGGTGCGCAGGCCCGCTCAGCTGGCGCCGTCTCTCCCAGTTCCTTGGCCCTCCCCAGCCTGGAGGTGCTTTCCTCACTTCCGTCCTGGGGAGGGGCGTCTCCTGAGACCCCTGGGGGGCTGTGCACCTCTCCCCAGTTGCCTGGCCTGGCCGAAGAGCCAGCCCTCCCATGGGACAGGACCAGTCTAGGGGCAGGGCAGCGGGAGCAGGCCTGGCTTCATCAGACAGCATTTGGACAGGCTCCCACAGCAGTCCTTCTGCCTCTCATTCATTCATCCCTCTGTGTTGTGATCACCTGCGAGCCCCACTCCGCGCAGGACTGCGTGCAGAGAGCTGTGGGGAGGGGCCTCTACCCCCAGGCCTTGCCTGTAGTCCTAGCTCATTCCTTCTCTTCTTGGCCCTGTGCCTTCATCCCCACCTCCCTACCTGCCGCCATTTCTCTACTCCTCCACCTGTGGTGGACATTCGAGACTCAGAGATGGAGCCAGTGTGGCTCCTGGCCCCCAGAAGCTCAGAGCCTAGTAGAGGAAATCAGCCACTCATTCATGTATGCATTCACTCATTCATTCATTCGTGCGTTCCATCATTTTGTGTGAATGCTGTATATGCTGTGAGGTCCTGAGGATCCAGACATGGATCACACAGCAGCCCACAAGGCCCTGGGTGACGTGACTTCCCTTTCCCCAGTCACCCCTCTGCTCTGACCACACCAGCCTCCTGGCTGTTCCCTGAGTAAGCGCCCCAGGCACACGCCCGCCTCAGGGCCTTCACTCTCGCCGTGCCTCCTGCCCGGAGTGCTACCCCCAGATCCCATGTGGCTCCAAAACTGCAGCCCCCCAGGCTCACTCCCTGTCCCCTTTCTCTGCGCTTTCTCCATAGCACCTGCCACCTTCTAACATCCTAGTTATTTCACTCGTTTAATTAGTGCCCCGCTTCTTCCCAGCACACACGTGACCGTCAGCTCCACGCTGGAGGTTTCTGTCTGTCTTGTTCACGGCTCCTCCCCAAGTCAGTGCGGGCCTGGCACCTTGTGAGAGCTCAGCAGCTCTCGGTTGGATGAAAGAAAGACAAGTCCCCGCAGGCAGGGGGCAGAGTCTAGAGGGCGTTCCATCCAAGCTGTGAATCGGCCCTTCAGTGACACATGCACAGTGTTCAGCCCACAGGCCACACACGCCAGCCCCCGCCCCCGCCCACCCCCTGCGGTGCCGTCCCCAGGGACCAGGGCAGGCCGGTGAGGCTACGCCCTGAGGAGGTCCTGGCTAGGACCTAGGTGACCCCGCCCAGAGCGTCTGTGCCAGGTGCTGTGGACGCTCAGGAGGGTAGCATCTGGCTCCCTGCTGGGGACTCTGAGCCCAACCCACAGCTGCCTCCTCCTGGCAGCAGGCCCGACCCTGGCCCTGCCTCAGCGGTCTGCCCAGGCAGGCTCCTTGCTCTTTTTTGGACCTTCGGCTCCCCAGTGGCCCCAAGGGGAGGCGGAAACTAATGCTCTCTCCAAATCAGATCAGGCTCCAGAGGGCGAGGACCTTGGCCCTCATCCCTGGGCCGAGAGGACTCGGCACTGATCTCTGGCCGGTCTCCCCGCAGACGTGAACGAGTGCGAGGCCCAACGCTGCAGCCAGGAGTGTGCCAACATCTATGGCTCCTACCAGTGCTACTGCCGCCAGGGCTACCAGCTGGCCGAGGACGGGCACACCTGCACAGGTGCGTCTCCCCTGCCCCGTGTGCCAGGCTCCCAGAGAGCTCCTCCCAGGCTGGGGACACGCAGAACACACAGGTTCTAGCGTCAAATCAGAGTGCGAGCCCCAGCCCTGTGATTTCATGGCTCTGTGACTTTGGGCAAATGCCTTCAAAATCTGACCTTAGGCTTCTCCTCTGTAAAGTGGAGATAATTGTCCTGAGTTCAGCGGGATGAAGGATTAAATGAAATACCGTATCCAGGCCCATGTCTGGTACCTGATTGGCCCACAGCTGATAGTACAATTATGGAGCAGCCCCGGGGACCGAGCACTGGAATGGGAGTCCTGTTTTGCTGTGTGGCCTTGGGCAACTCTCTTCCTCTCTCTGAGCCCTGTTGTCCTCATCTGTAAAATGGGCCCGTAGACTCCATGACTGTGGCAGGGACAGGCTGACTGTCGGTGGCTGGGCCCTGTGGGTATGAGGGGTTCACGAGGGACTGACCTTCTCTCTGACAGACATCGATGAGTGCATTCAGGGCGCCGGCATCCTCTGCACCTTCCGCTGTGTCAACGTGCCAGGGAGCTACCAGTGTGCATGCCCGGAGCGGGGCTACACCATGATGGCCAATGGGAGGTCCTGCAAGGGTGAGCAAGGGGTCCCTGCCCCACCAGGGCCTCAGGCAGGCTCCAAGCAGGCACAGAAAGCCTCACACAGCTTGCTGGGCCCTGAGAGACACCAAGTGCATAAGCACAGAATGGCCAGTGCCACTGGTGGCCACGTTAATTGAGGTCTATGCCTGGGATGAGGAAAGTGACAGTCTTTCTGCTGCTTGACCCAGCTTAGAATCTTCCAGGCTTGGACTCAGCTCAGAGTCATGCTCTGGGAGCAGGATAGGGATCCTGTGGGGTGGTTCTAAAAGGCAGGAGACCTGTCCAGTAAGGAGCCTGAGGAAGAGCAGCCTCAGGGGTCGCAGTCTCTGTCCCCAGGTGTCAGTGATGCTATCCAGGGACAGGGGGCCAGGCAGGTCTGTGGACCCAGAGGGTAAGGTGGCACCCCCAGGAGTAGGGATAGGAGTCACAGAGAGGCTTTTCCCAGCCGTACATGCAGAAAGACATGATCCCAGTCAGAGCTGTGTGGGGCAGGGAAGGGCTGCGCAGGAGGAAGGGGGCTCCCTGTCATTGGGGACATGTAGTCCCTTGTTAAATTTGCAGTTGAGGGGACTACTTCCCTGGATGGGGACCAGGTTCTATGACATCTAATTTTCCTCTCAGCTGTAGAGTCATGATCCCAAGTTCATTTCCGTCAGGATTTACTAAAGCCACCAAATTCTGGGTCTGGAAAGCCACCTGGGCAAGGTGGAGGGCCCTGGAATCCACCTGGGCAGGATGCAGGAGGGGGCACCAGCATCCCCCTGGGAGAACTGACCGCTCAGCACCTCGGAGCCCAGCCCACCTGCCTCCCCTTGGCTTGCGTGCCTGAGTCTTCCCCAGATGGCAGGGCGAGAGCTGGCAGTTCCCTGGGTGCAGCTTTGGTCCACCAAGGCAGGTCCTGGTGTTCCTGGGGCACCAGGGGTCAGAGCCGGCGCCCAGAAGGGGGCGGAGTTAGGCCAGTGTCACGTGGGCTGCTGGTCACTACCTGTAAATGGACCCTGAGATCATTTTAGATCCCTGCCAGCTGTTTCAGTTTTCTTTTTCACTAGCATGCAACAACATAGGGTCAGCTGGGTAGGGTGGAGTGGGCATGGAGTAGATCAGAGAGCGTTGTCTGTTAGGATTGTTCCAGTCCATGTGTGTGCACTTAGTTCCCAATGCAGAAGATTCCTTACTGTAGGTTGATGTAAAAAAATAATAAATTAAATTAAAAGGCCCTGAGTGAGACCAGGTAAATCATGGACTTGGAGGCCTGCTGGGCCCACAGATGCTGACCTCGGTCTCCCTGGCTGCAAAGCCCTCTGCTAATTTTTAATTTAAAAGTAATCAGAATGGGCTCTGTAAAAGGTAAGGATTTTACCCACCGTAAACTGAGCTGTGTGGGAAATATGACTTCCTGTTCCTAGAACGTGGTCTCGTTTTTGAGACTGAGGCCCGGTTCCCCCGAGAGCAGCTGAGAAAGCTGCCGCAGCTCAGTCACCCCTGCGGTGACTGGTGCTCTTGAAGGGGCTTCACGTTGAGGGCGTCTCTCCCCGACCCCTCCTCCCCGGCCCACGCCAGCACCAGGGTCTGAGGAATGCTCGGACGTCCTCATGTGCCTGTGCTGACACCAGAGAGGGCTCCCTGGGCCGGAGGCACACGCCTGCTCTGTGCTGGCCCTCGGCACATCTGACACCCAGCGCTACTCTCCAGCCCCAGGACCCTGCAGCTGACTGGCTGTAGCCCCCACCCCCACCTGGCTCTCGGCATCCTCTCCTCTCCCGGGGCTCGCTGCCCTTCCACCCCTCACAGCCCACCCTGTGGCCCGCCCCCAAGATGCAGAGCGACGCACAGGCCCCCTCTCTCCAGTCCCTGCTGCGTCACCAGCCCCGTCTGGGGGTCAGGCGAGGGAGAGGCCCCACTACACCTATGTTGCCTTTGCTTTCTGTCCAGGCTCTCCTGCTGCAAGAGCCTCTGCGCTCTCGTGGGGTGGACGAGGGCAGAGCGTGAGATGCCAGTTCTGCCTGGTCACGTCCACTTCCTGGGTCACCGTAGGACCCACGTCTGCGGTCACTGACCTCAAAGCTAAGCAGTTGCCTTCCTTGCCTTCCCGGTCCTGTTCTGACTTGGGCCAAACACTGACCCTCCCGGCTCGAGCGGGCGATGGCCGTGGGGGAGCAGGGTAGTGTCTCCTGGTAGCACCCTGCCCCTCTGCGGTAGTCAAAAGGGACAGAAGAACGTGAAGGGATTCGGGCTTGGCCGTGTCTCCTGGAACATACATTCTGTGGAGGGCCGTGAATGCTGGCACGTGGAGTGTGCCCAGCACAGAATAGGTGCTCAGGGAACGTTCGAGAACATGACTGAACAGCTGAATACGCTGAGAGGCACCTGCCGCTCTCCGACGTATTTCCTTCTAGTCTCTCCTTTTGCCAGTATATGTATACAATGTAATATTGTGCTGAAAACACATAGATCATGCTGAAAACAGTCTTGAGCCCTGCTTTTTTCTTTTTTAACGTGTGTAAAGCCCTTAGCAGCATTCCACTCAATATGAGCTAGCTTTTAGCAATGCTGTCAGTCTTACGTGTTGACTTATTATGAGCATCTTTCCAGGTCTTTCAAAAGCCCTCGAGCCTCTCTTCTGGGGGCTGCGCCCTGTAGAGTTTCTTTGCTTCTCTAGTGTCTACGCTGCCCCCCATTTGTGCACGTCTGAGTTGTGGCTGGCGGCGTGCCGTCTCCGGTGAGGTTGCGATGATGCTCCCTGGGTGTACGGCCTTGTTGGGCTCTGCCTTTGGCCTAGCTCTCCAAGGGAGGCTGCAGGGTCGAGGGCCCCATGGACCCCAGGGTGGAAGGAAGTCCTGTAGCAGCTTCCTGTGAGCTCGGGGGGCCAGGCCGCAGCTGCTGGCCGTTGGCGCTCCTTCCCGCCGCTTCTGGGAGTCTCCATCGGGGCCAGCTGGGGTGGATGGCAAGCGCAGCTCCCGCGTGCAAGGTCCTGCCCCAGCCCCGCCCAGGCTCCAGGGCCAGGACTTCCTGCTCACTAGAGTGGGCGGCCAGGGGTACAGGATGAGGAGCAGGAGGCCCTCCCTCCTTGTGGATGCAGTTAGTGAACCATCGGCAGGATGAGGACCGCGCCCATCCTGGCCCCACAGGCTCTGGCCTCTGGCCCTGTTTTCTCCCACTCGCCTTTGCTCCACCCTAGGAGATTGGGAGCATGACCCATTTTGCAGAGGAGGAGAGTGAGGCTTGCAGAGGTGAAGAATGTGAGCTGATATTGCCACTGAGGAGCGTGGTGGCCAACAGCCCAGAGTCTGGAGCAGGCTGGGTTTGAGCCCTGCTCTGTCCTGTTGCCGTGGTGTTGCCCTGGGCACGTCTGTGGGTTGGAGGTGACAGCCGTACCTGCCTGGTGGGGTGTGAGGATAAATGAGTTAATAAGTGCAGTGGGCCTGAGCATCGAATGGATGTCAGATGGTGAACTTGGGATGCAGGTTGGCTGTTACTATTACTCTCATTGTGGCTGCTATTGTTAGGAGTCCGCTTGGCATCTTGATTGGACCCTAGATTTTGGCATCAGGCAGACCTGGCTTCCAGCTGCCCTGCTGACTCTGTGTGACCTTGAGCAAGGCTGTGCCCCTCTCTGAGCTTGCTTCCCTCCTCTGTCTGGGGAGGCTAGTGACCCTCACCCCACAGGGCTTGTGTGAGGGCTGAGTGAAGAGAAATCCCTACACTGGACCAGTATAGAGGGTAGAGAACAAAACCCGGAGCCTTCCAGGGCAGCCCCTGACAGCCCCTGCCCCCTTCCCCAGGGGACAGCCCTCTCAGAGCTGAGAGGCTGGTCCTGCAGAAAGGGTCTGTGGAGCCCATCTGTTTGATCTTTCTTGTCTTACAGGTTGCCTGTGGATCCTGTGGGTCACGCACACACTTGTCACCAGCATGCTTGCTTCTCTGAGCTTTTGTCAGAGATATTTATCCATACCTCCTTGTGTGTTTGTGTGTCTGTGTACCTGTGTGTGTGCCTGTGCACATGCATATGCTTGGCCGTGCGCCTGTTTCTGTGAATTTGCACAGGAAGTGTGAGCATGTCTGTGCAGTTTCTGGGGGCCGTTTGTGGCTGTGCATCTTGGAGTCTGTATTTGCGAGTGACAGGTCTTGTACCTCCATCCAACAATATGTGTGCAGCGCCTGCTCTGTGCCAGGCACTCTGCTGTGTGCTGGGGACACCTCAGGGCCGAGAGAGACACACCCTCCTGGAGCTCATGTTGAAGGGGGGGAGGTGGGAACAGAACAGACATACGAAGTGTCTTAGGCGTGTTTCCCTGGAGGACAAGCAGTGAATGCAGTGGGATGGGAGGGAGGTGATGGGGGAGGAGGACCAGTGCAGAGTGGTGAGGGAAGGCGTGCTGCAGGGGTGACCCTGGGCTGAGACCTGACAGATGAGAAGGAGCCAGCCATGGGAACATGTGGGGAAGTGTTCCAGCAGTGGGAATAATATGTGCAAAGACCCTGAGGTGGGGTAACCGTCAGGGGCAGACCACAGGGGTCGAGCGGGACTGCAGCCAGGTGGAAGGAGAGGTGCTCAGAGAAGGGCAGAGAGGCTGAGTACTGTAGGGCTTGGCGTCCAGGGAGGGCCTTGGGTTTTTTTTTCTGGGAGGGAGTGTGGGAAGCCCTCAGAGGACATGACAGAAGATGATTTACATTTTAAAGCAAGGTCCCCGTTTCCTGGGTGGAGGGGACGGGATAGGGGTGTGCGTGGTGCAGGGTGACCTGTGAACTGTGTTCTCACGGTCAGGACAAGCTGCTCCGAAACCCAGGCCTCCAGGGTGGGCTGGGGTGGTTCAGACCAGGGTCTCCAGTCGTGGGGGTTCCCTCCCATCACCCGCTCTCCTCCCTGCAGACCTGGATGAGTGCGCACTGGGCACCCACAACTGCTCCGAGGCCGAGACCTGCTATAACATCCAGGGTGGCTTCCGCTGCCTGCGCTTTGAGTGTCCCCCCAACTACGTGCGAGTCTCAGAAACGTGAGTGCCCCACCCGGCCTCGGGCCGGGACCCTGCACCCATCCCAGGCTGCCCAGAGAGGCCAAGTGAGCGGTGGCCCCTGCCTCTACCACCTCCTGCACTTCACAGGCCTGCTGCCAGGTGTGTGGTCAGACTGACCGCAGATGGTGCACAAGAAGCACCTTGCGGGAAGTCTGGAGTGGAGAGAACGAAGGGAAGAAGACGCGCAGAAACTCTCAGTCTCTCTCTCTCTCCCTCTCTCCCTCTCTCTCCCTCTCTCCCTCTCTCCCTCTCTCCCTCTCTCCCTCTCTC